ATTTAGGTTTGAGAGTTCAGGTGGTCCGAATTTAAGTCGCATCACCGGAAACCCTAAACCCTAACCCCTGAACCCTAAACCTTAAAATCCCTAAACCCTAAACCCTAAAATCCCTAAACCCTAAACCCTAAAATCCCTAAACCCTAAACCCTAAAATCCCTAAACCATAAACCCTAAAATCCCTAAACCCTGAACCCTAAAATCCCTAAACCATAAACCCTAAAATCCCTAAACCCTAAACCCTAAAATCCGTAAACCCTAAACCTTAAAATCCGTAAACCCTAAACCCTAAACCCTGACACGCCTCTAAGAGCTTCGCTGCTCGCAAACCGGAGAGGCGGCGCTCACACGCAAAGATTTGGAAATGCCAGAGGTGGACATTTAGGGGTTAAGGTTTGGGGTTCAGGGTTTAGGGTTTCGGGTTTTGGGTTTAGGGTTTCGGGTTCTTTTTGGGTTTAGGATTTAAGGTTTAGGGTATAGGGTTTTGGGTTTTGGGTTAAGGGTTTGGGGAGCGGGGGAGGGAAAGGATTTCTTTGTTTTTGGTTTTAGGTGCTTGTATTCCGGCTGCAGGGGGGGAAGGGGTGGTTTGAGGGAACCGAACAGAGCCCTAGGGAGAATTGGGGATTAATGGGTTATATACCCCTCTTGGAACCCTCTCCCTTAAGGATCCCTAAACCCTAAACCCTAAACCCTAAACGCCGAAGCATTCTAGAACCATTCCAAGCCAGGCCGCCGCATCTGTGGCAGCCTCCCGATCTTCCACTAATGAATCTAGGGCGTTTTCAGGTGGGTAGTTACCCTTATAGGAGCCTTATAGAAGGTCTATATACCTTATAGAAGCCCTACATACCCTAAACTCCCCACTTGTAGTTTCCTTTAAATGAATATTCGATGCATAGTGTTATGGATCCTACTATGGGGCATGCCTAGGCCAGGTGCACGGGAAGCATGTCGGAAGCACATGGGCTTGAGGATGGCATGTCCAGTGATATAGGGGCCTTAATAATTGGAATAGGGTTTCGGGTAAACTATACCATAATTATAATAAGGAATCCCCGCATGTAGGGTTTTAGGGTTTTGGGTTTAGGGTTTAGGGAACCAGCTCCCCGGAGGCCATCCGCTCCAAGCTTGTCGAGTTCATGAAGGACGTCGAGCCCCGCGGAGGAATCAGCTTCTTTAAGGGCTTAGGAATCAGGGTTTAGGGTTTAGGGTTTTTGAGGGTTCAGGCGGGTAGTTGGAGCTTGAATTCGGGCCCTGTCCCAGACAGGCATGGAAAATGCAAGGCTGCGCATGCTGTGCTTTTGAGTCTTTGAGGTCGAGCTTCGTAGGCTTTAATATAGGAGCCTTCATATTTGTGGAGGGTTCCTTAGTGGTTTAGGGCTTAGGGTTTTCGGGTTTATAGGGTTTAGGGTTTATAAGGTTTAGGGCGGTGCAAATCAGCTTCACCATGATCTGCAGAGCCTGTTTGCCATCCTTCCAGCCCCAAGTCCCTTGTCCCCCTAGACCCCAACCCCTGAACCCCTAAACCCCTAAACCCTAAGATCCCTAATCCCTAAACCCTAAACCCTAAGATCCCTAAACCCTGAACCCTAAACCCTAAGATCCCTAATCCCTAAACCCTGAACCCTGTACCCTGAACCCTAAACCCTATAACGCAAACTCCCTGCCCCCCCCCCCCGGCCCAGGTGAATTTGGGTGGAGATGGTTCAGGTGATCCAGGACAGGAAGAATCAGAGTTCATATCATCACTACTACTCCCCGAAACCCCTAAACCCTAAACCCCTAAACCCGTAAACCCTAAAATCCCTAAACCCTAAACCCTAAAATCCCTAAACCCTAAACCCTAAACCCTAAACTACTCTTATCACATCGGCTGCCCCTGAAGGCCTCTCTGAACTCTAAACATCGAGTGGGGGCTCTGATACGCGGCGTGACGGGCAGCCGCGCTTTGCGGAAAGGCCCTTGCAGCTTGCAGCCCTCGCAGGGGTTCCAGGTTAGGGTTTACCTAGACCCTTAAATGTAGTACGTTTTATTGGATGACCTATTTTATGGTTAGGATCCTATAATCAGAAACTAAGGTAACCAAAACAAGGTACTGCATTTACGGGTCTAGGTAGAGACTTATTCCTTCTTTGCAGCAGGAACCATCTGGGCAGGACAGTTTCGTTTGAGCCCCCTGTTCAATGATGTCACTGGTGCAGTTGAGCCTGTGTTAAAGCTCCATCCTGGTGAAGAGATTCATGGCTTTGCATGAAGGCGGTGAGAGACCGACTGCGATGCTTCCACATGCTTACTAATTACATGTTGCGGCAACCGGCATAGCACCCCACATCGTAGCAATTTCAGGCCAAGGTCGAGATCGTCGGCCGATCAGAGCTGACGGAAGCTAATGTCTCTGAGGCAGCATGCCAGTAATGGCCGCACTGAAACGCATGCATGGTTTGGGAAGGAGCGCGAGTGGCTGCAAGCTTGTTCTCAGCGCCTTTTCCGCTGCGCATCGGCGTGGAGTGGATCGTCAGCAGCTCAGAAGGTTCAGAGCATCACAGTCATGTCGATTTGGGCTCGGGCACGCAGCAGTTGCCCGGTCAGTGGTTCAAGACAGTTTGAAAAAGCCGCGCAAACCTTGGCTGCTTCGCAGCCGCGCTCTGCCCAATGTCGGCAGAGCAAATTGCTCTCATGTTCGACCACTTGAGAGATCAAGTGGTCTTGGCTCTGAAGGCCAAAGAGGAAGATGCATTGATGATCGCGGACCTCCAGCAGCAGCTGGGCACCCAAACCGAGAAAGTGAAAATCCTGGAGGCGCAGCTCCAGGAGCTCAAGCAGGTGGTGCTGGGCCTCATGCAGGAGGAGGTGGAGGAGGAGGGAGAGGAGGAATCCGAGTCGACAGGCACTCCGCCTGCTCCAACGGCGGAGGAGTTGGAGGAGCAGACCGACTCAGACGCAGAGCACCTTCCCCCGCCATCCCCTTCCCAGATCGCGAAGATCCTCCTGCAGCAGGTCTTTATCCGCTTAGCGGGAAAAGACGAGACGGCGGATACGGTGCAGAAATCGCAGTCGGATGATGTCAGCATGTGGGAGGCAGGTCCTGGTGTGGAGGTGGAGGAGCAGCAGACCACAACGCAGTCCGCTGATGCAAGGATTTTGCAGGCAGGCCCTGCTGCGGAGGTGGAGGAGCAGCACACGACCCGTTGGGTCTGTGTCCGCAGGAGCGGAATGGACATCCGTTCGGGACCGTACGTCCAGCGTACGGATGTTGCAGGCTACTTGCCTGCGCAGAAGGTGTTCCATGTCTCAGAGGAGAGACGAGGCCTTCACAGCACCATCTTCTTGAAGCTGGCTGATGGCACGGGCTGGGTGTTCTCCGAAACCCGCTCCGGCACCTTCTGCAAGCCTGCCGATGCACAGCACGCCGAGATGGAGTGGTACAGCCAAGCCTGGACCTGCCAGGACAAGGATAATCGCGGATGGAAAGACCATTATGGGAATTCTTGGAGCGGGAGCTCCGACTACGACAACAAAGGATGGTGGACGGCAGACAAAGATGATTTGGACAGACCGAACAACGGAGGTTGGGACAATCGTGAGAAGCGGTCTTGGAGTGGGAGCTCCGACTCCAAAACAAGCGGATGGTGGATGGGAAAGGAGCAAGGAGGGTGGAAGAGTAGTGATCCCTGGGCACAGTGGCAGAAGAACCAGTACTCAGGACTGGCCGGAGTGGTGATGGCGCGCTACTGCCCTTCGTGCATGTCATGCACAGAGAATTTGACATGCTCCTCGGTCAGGCCAATGCGCCAAGTTGAGTACCCCATCACAGATTGCACCGTGCAAAGAACTTGTTTCTGAGCTGTGTGTGAAAAACGGCGTTTCAGCGAGCCTGCGTACCTTTGCATCGCCGGTTGTCACTTTGTGCACGTCGCACAGACCAGTTCCCCTTCACGAAAGCACGCCAACAAGCAGCCAGCGAGCGAAGCATCCGAAGATGTTCAGATGTGAGTTGGCAAGGAAGCCTCGCCGCCGACGAAGTCAAGGCTGAATCCTTCTCGATGTCCCTTGCCAGTGGGGGCCTCGATGGGCTCCGCGCGTCAAGTCACGTTGCAATCTGTTTCGTGTCTTCCAACGTGGGGGCATCCGTGCTGCTGCGTTTCAGGACTGCAGCCCTCGCAAAATTGCGCGTCCAAGCCCAAAGGTGGCTTCCAGTGCCAGGCCGGCGTGCGTTGGCGGCTTTATCCTTCCCCTTAACCCTAAACCTTAAACCCTAAGCCTTTAATCCCCTAAACCCCGCCTTGCGAGGTACCTGGCGGCTGTCTCTGGGGCGGTCGCCTGGCCTGGCCGCAGCGCAGAGGCCCACTCCTCTTTTTTGTCGAAGCCTCTCAGGTCTTCCTTGTGTCACCCAGTATGGGACGACAGAACATGTCCGCAACCCTAAACCCTAAGCCAGCTGCATGCAGGCTCAAGGGTGGTAGGTGTGGTAGCAGGCAAGCTCCATGAGAATTCGATTCGCCTTCCTCCTGGCCGTAGCTGCCGTGTCTGCGTTGGCACTCACGGGAAGCTATGACGTTGGTACGGGTGCCAGGAGAGGGTCCAGAAAAAGGGTTTAGGGTTCAGGGTTTAGGGTTTAGGGTCCAGCAAAAGGGTGGTATTCAACATTAAAGTTGCTTTGGGTCCTGCCTATCTAAACTGGCATGCGATTCCAGGCACTGTGCCCAAGCCTAGCAGGGTACCCTCTGCGCGTGCTGGGCTTTTTTGGTGTTTGCAGCAGCATTCTCAGGATTTGACTTCCTGAAAGAAGCTGTGCCTGACCCCGCTATTAAGGCCTCTAGTTCGCTGGCCCACGGGCGCCCCGCAGCTTCGACAGTAAGCTTGAGCAGGTCCTTACTTCACTCAAGCCCCAAAAAATGGCTCACGCAAATTTCCAGCAGACCTTCGTTTGTGCACCTCCCAAAACAGTGCCGCACTCGCGAGCTTCAGGCCTTTGTACCATTACCAGATGCAGTCGTCAGTGCCCTGAAAAAGTGCAGCAGTGACCCGCAGGTATACATACGTACTGCATGCCAGAACCGTGCCTGAATTGCCATCATTCTGTGAGGAGGTTATCGCCGAACACTCGTTCCCGCCACGACGTCCTGGAGCAGACCTTCATGGGAGTAACAGTTGGGGCACTTTCAGCTTGCGTGATCTTCTGGTCTTGCTACGTTGGTGAGCCATCTGGCCAGTGTTGTCTCCTCGTACTGGCTGTATCAATAATCCTCATATGTGCATTGGTCGTAAATCATATACTTTTCGAGTGGACTGTTTTGGCAGTGCTGGCTTGCGCGATCTTCTGGTTTAGCTACTATGGTGAGCCGTCTGACACGGGTTGCAGCATCCTTAAACGTCTTCTCGTACTGGTTGTACTTCCAAGCCTCGTCTGTTGTTCATTAATGTTGCTGCTTAATAATTCGTATCAGTGGGGTGATTCTTATGGGACAGATCTGGCTTACGCTGGTGTCCTTCTCCTGTGGGCGGCCTGTTTCTCGCTACTCTTCGCATTGCGCCATCGACTTCCTATCTCACGGGAGGCACCAGAGTGGCTAATCGCTCAGGGGAATGTGGCGCACAGTCTTGCCGTGGCAGGGGCTGTCACGCTTGCCGGTCGCTGCCTGTACATGGCTTTTTGGGACGACGTTGTGGCGTCCTGGCCGTCCTGGGACAATTTTGTGCCAGACGGGAGGGCATTCGAGACCAAGC